AGACGCCTGGGTTGGGTGAGACGCCTGGGTTGGGTGAGACGCCTGGGACCGGGAGTTTCTTTTTGAGACATCGATGCTTAACTCTACCCAAAGGGCAGGCTGTGAGGGCCTGTGCTTGTTCCATCCTGTACCATCTCAACCTTGGTTCAAGCAGCTTCAGTGTGCTGTGAATTGTTCTCATCAAGTACCCAGACACTCCATGGGACTGCCATATATGCCGATCAGTTGGGGTGGTTTGGGAGGTCAATGTAAGCATATATGGCAGTCCCATGGGTCGTGTCTGGGGTATAGAGGGTGTTCAGTTAGGTCAATGTAAGCATATATGGCAGACATGGAGTGTCTGGGGTATAGAGGGTCTTCAGTTCCACCCCTCTGTCTCAACAATTCTTGCTGGTCGTCAATGTTGAGGACACTACTTGGCGAGATCCATTTCATTGTGGCCGATGGTCATCCCAAGGCTACACCCCCTGTTTTCATGGAGACGCGGTGACACTCACGTCCACGTGCCAAAGAGAACAAGCCCTAAGGCAACAACTCACTGCCGGCCAGATGGTTCTGCCTTTATGGCTGCTCGAGCGCTTGGGAGGAGAGGGTGAATGGTTGCTCCGTATTGAGAGTGGAATTGGGCAGCTGAAGGACGACCATTGGATTGGCATTCACACTCAAAACCAACAGGTGGTTCTTGTAAACATATTTTCCAGCGAAACTGAGAGGGGTCAGGGCGTTTAGCTTGCGAATCCCCCAGTAGTTGGAAGGTTCTCAGAACTGCTTAGCTGGAACCTCCGAGGTGTTCCATGAAATCGGTCTTCGCCAATGAACAAGCCCAGAACCCCAGCAGAGCCGAGGCGTAGTTTCTCTCCCCGACATGGTTGCAGTAAGGTTGGACATCAAGAGACCCTTCTTTCGGGGTGTCCTGGCTGGAGGTCCCGGATCGTAGTGGGCTGGGGCGAAACCAGCCAGGTGACCCCGACATGAAGGTGCTGGTATGCATGTTTGTTCGAGGATCGACTGGTGGCGAACGTATGTCAGATCTGATTTGGAATGGTCGTACCCATGGTGAAGCTGTGAACAACAGCAAGTTGACCAGAGGAACCACAATGAAAGCCCACACGTGGTTGCATCGCGATGCATCATGCATCGTGCTGCATCCGCGTGAATCGCGAGGTTGGGATCCCGAAGAGGTTCCAGACGTGAAGTCCATCTCCAAGAGCGGAGAGACGCCGGGAAGCAGTTCTGAGGGGCGGTGCCACCTCGCAGAATTCAGACACTGGCAACTAGTATTGGACCCCTGAAACTGGAACCATCCCAATTTAGGCAAACACCCGGATCTTCAAAAGGGCACACCGTTTTTGCCGGAGACAATTGCCAGCGAAAAGACACCACAATCAATCAACAAAAGCAACTTTAGAGTTGCATACATGCGTTCAACACCTGTTGATGGGGAAAGATGCCGTTTGGACGCCTAAAGACGCTGTTTGGACACTTAAAAGTTAAAAGCACTGTTTTTGTTTTTGCCCATTTCCGCCTGGTCACAACCCAAAACGCTGTTTTTCGGAAAGGACGCCGTCTTACGGCCTTGTTCCTGAAGAGAGGCGACGAGACTTGTGCCATTTCGTAAGATCGAGGTTCCATAATACATATCCATACACGGAGTGTTTGGGTAGTTGGAGGAGGCTCGTTCAACATGGCAGTCACCTACGCCGTCAAGCGAGCCCTTTTTGTGTCCCAAAGAAGTGGGATCCGACCACCTTTTGGAGGTCAGTCCATGTTCTAGGCTATATAGTTCATGATGGTGGGAGTCCATATAGTACATAGTCCTAGTGATGGAATTTCTGGAGCAAGAATCCTTCGCTTCAGATTGGCTCTTCAGCCTCCATTTTTCACTGAGGAACATCAAGCCGAACTGCTTCAAGGGGAAGCTCCTCATCAGCGGTCGTGTCGAGCGCTTAGGGGCTGAAGATGTGATGATGGCTGCGGGCATCACAACTTCCAGTGGCTTGGTGCAAACAATCCGCAGAAAAAGCCGCGTGATGTGGGAGATGTTGGAATGGTTGTTTGATTTTGATGGTTCTTCCATCATGGACAAGCATAGACCACGACTTCCGCTTAGCTTCGGTGGGCTGGGGCCGGGGTGGCTGCCAGGGTTTGGTCCGCCTTTCGGAGCTGGACGATTCGTTCAATTCGTACGGAGTCGCACCGAGGAAGTGCCCCGGAGCCGCGCAATATGCAGCTTGCCTTGTTCCTTGGCCGTGATTCGTGGCTGAACAGCACGGAGCAGCACAAACACAAAGAAGCTTCGTGTGATGACGATCATGAATCACGATGACGATGATATTATGATGATGATGACGAGGAGGAGGAGGATGAGGATGAGGATGATGAGGAGGATGAGGATGATGAGGATGATGAGGATGAGGAGGATGAGGATGATGAGGATGATGAGGATGATGAGGATGAGGATGATGAGGATGAGGATGTTGTTATGATGTTTACAGTAATGCCAGAGCGAGTACATTGGAGGTGGCAGATCATCTATTCCAGGAGTCAGTCCCTTCGCATGATTCTCCCTTCCCCCCTGACAGCCTCACATGGGGCCAGTCCCTTTGCACCATCCCATGGTCTTTTCATGGCCCCTGAAATCAAGCCTTTCTGGCATTTTCTTGGTCTATTTAAGCTACCTAACCTATGCCCCTATACTTACCGGACACCGTCCTTTCTGGAAACTAAGCCACCGTGGTGGCGCTCGTTGCACCGAGGCTGGCGGACGTCTACGAGGTCTGCGGCGCCGTGGGCCGCGAGTGCCAAGTACAGTTGGCCTTCGGCAGCAGCACCAAGCAGACCAAGGACTGGGTCTCCCCAGGCGACAGCAGCCAGCGCGCGCCCGTGCTCTCTCGGGCGCGGCCACGGAGATCGGAGATCCATACCCAGACACGACCCATGGGACTGCCATATATGCCGATCAGTTGGGGTGGTGCCATGGGGATCAATGGGGCGGCATATATGGCAGTCTCATGGAGTGTCTGGGTATATAGAAGATGTCTCTGAAAGTTGATGCGACCGTGGTCCGACAGTGCAGATCGGATGATTGCGGATGTGATGGGAAATTGTGAGGGTGATGTTCACCACTCAGTGTTGACTCGTCAGACCCGGGAGTGAGCAGTCTAACGTCTCAGAACCATTCAGTACTCGTTCTGGGGGCCACCAATAGACTGCCCTCGACTAGGTTGTTCCTTTTGGCTTCTTGGATGGGCTGAGAGTTTGACATGTGTTTTTTTTAATAAGGAGCAGGAGCAGTTATATAGGTGTTCTTTTCCCTGTTCTCAGGTCGCCTGGAAGATCACCAAGTGCAGGTGGTCAAATGATCAATTCAAGACTGGCACGGGAAGGTAGTTTGTCCACCTAAAGGTCTCTTGCCTCCATGGCGTGCATAAGCATCGGCGCCAGTAGGTCCTAGGTCTTGCTGGAGCGTTCTTTGTTTGTGAGCACCTGTTTCTACAACTCCCATCGCTTCACACTTTTAAGATCATTTAGGTTCTATCCCCAAACGCTGACCCTCATGAGGTTCGGCGCCCCGCGCTGCTGGTAGATCAGGTAGATGTGACCTATTTCGATGCATAGCCATAGTCCATCAGTGCGCCCGATTCGCTGTTTGTATGCACGTCTTCGCGCAGGTGGCCTTGACAAGATTGCGGCCATCGAACAGCACGGGCAGGGCGCGGTGACCGATGACTTCGGAGAAGATGACAAGAGTCCTGGCGGCCGTTTTTCGGACCAACACCTTGTTCGGTGTTGGGACCGACTCGCCTATGGCCAATCTCATGAAGAGAGAGAGAGAGAGAAGAGTCCAATGAACTGCCCCACTACCTTTTGGTTTCCATTGGGCACCCCTTGGGGGGTCCAGGTGGAGATTTAGGTTAATTGTTCATTTGCTGCAGTCCACTGTGGGCAGTCGACACTCTCATGATCATGGATTGTCAAAACTCTGCGTGTGTTTTCACTTAAAGCATCGAGCAGAGCCATGCAAAACCTTGGGATATTGGGATATTCAAGCAGTAGAATAATGGATCCCTACATGTGAAAGACCTCATTAAAACAACAAAAACACTACTCAGGTTCTCAGGACCAGGTATTAGTGGGTCGGACCTGTATTTTGGGGGCTTCTTTCATGTGTCGTTTTGCGAAGCGACGAGCTCTAAATACTCCAGACACATCCAAACACGTTGGTATGGAATGATGGCCTAGTTGATGGCCTGACTGAGTTGTGGTTGTAGTATGTAGTTCCTGGGAGGGGGACAGAGTCAAACGAGTCAGAAGCATATGTATCCCCTAGACCTGCAGTCGTATAGTCGTATACCTGCTCAGAAGGTATGAATGGATCCTGGCGCCCACCCCAGTCCCACATTCGACTGGGAGCCCTAGGGTATTACCCCAGATGATATTGCCAATCTGATGGATATACCCCAGGTATATGCCCCAATATCCCGAACACCTTCTATTCCAATCTGGTGGATGTTATGGGATCACCATGGCCCTTGTCGGAATTCGTAAAAAAAGATGTGACACCGAGAGTGGTTCGCTCGCCAAGAGCTGATTTGGAAGACCATCAAGAACCCAGGAGTTTTGTGGAGTAGGGGCACTTGGGCCATAGAACTTGGATCCCCAGAAGAGCCCCTGGAAGCCACTTATGTCAGCGAAGCCACCGCGGGCATCGTGTGTGGCATTTGGCATGGCAAATAGCGTCCTCGCGCCGGTCGCGTCGCGCCGGCATCGTCGCGATGGCATCAGGATCTACGAGGTGGAAGATGTGACCACCTTTAGCTTCACACAGGATCACGGGGTCGGTGAGAGGGGTCGGTGGATCATTCTAATGATTCAATTATTGATTGGATATGGGTGTGAATTGGCTCGCTGTGTGGCCTTTCTGCGTGGGTGTTCGTTTGTGTGTGTGTCCCTTTGCGCGCTTCTGTGCGGGTGTTTGTGTGTGTGTGTGTGTGTCACACCCTGGACAAAGGGTCTCACCCCACCACTTTCACACAGGCAGGGGGACAGAGCTCTCTGATGCTACTCTGTCCAACGAAGCTAGGCATCAGAGAGGGAAGCATCCACTGGCCATGGATGTGTACCTGCTTTAACGGTTGAACAAGCTGTCCAATTGACTTTGTTTGTTTTCATGGTTCTTCACGATTTCCACCCCATAAACATTCGTCCCCAGCAGCTGTGCCGCCGATTCGATTGCTGCCGCCTTTGTGACAACAATGTTAAACCTTTCAAGTGCTCGGACCCATGCACCTTTCTGTTCTCTCACCTTCCTTCTCAACGTGGTACTTGCATTAACTGAAAATCCAAGTTCGAAGTGTGTCCTGCTCAGCCGTCCCACTCGGGTGCTGAGTGTGATCCCCTTCACAGGGGCGCTGTTTTTGCATGGGAAAGCAACCACCCCAACGCTCCACCGATCACTGGAACATCACAGGAAGGCACCGACACCCTCACAGAATCAACCGCCACACCGGCCGCCGGGCCAAAAAACGGTTCTTGAAGAATCCTTCAGATTCCGAACTTCTGATCTCAGATTTCAGCATTCAGTGTTCTTTTCATGTTTTCCAATCATGTGCGTGTTTCCCTGTTCGCTATGTTGCTGCCGCGATTCTTTCATTGACAGAACTTTTCAGCTTAATTCGAGATGCATGAACACACACCTACTAACAAGCTTA